TATGACCTAAACGGCAGTGCCACAAATAAGTTGCACTATCATTATTAACTTTGCATCTTTTGGTTTCAATATTATGATTATGTGTATCACTACGATCAAGATCCAACGAACTATTTTCATTGGGTGTGTAACCATATAAGGTTTTATTCATGTAAACAGAACAACAATTTATTCTCTTACTTAAAAGAATAACCGTATTACAATAAACATGATCAAATCATATTCATGCTCAACGCAAACACCAAATAACACTTATTCAGGTTCAACACTAAACCCGAAAGTATAGGGAGTGTGCGATGATGATCATATCAATCTTGGAACCACTTCCAACACACATCATCACTTCACCCTTAACTAGTCTCTGTTTATTCTGCAACTCCCGTTTCGAGTTACTAATCTTAGCAACTGAACTAGTATCAAATACTGAGGGGTTGCTATAAACACTAGTAAAGTACACATCAATAACATGTATATCAAATATACTTATGTTCACTTTGCCATCCTTCTTATCTGCCAATCACTTGGGGTAGTTACGCTTCCAGTGACCAGTCCCTTTGCAGTAGAAACACTTAGTCTCAGGCTTAGGACCAGACTTGGGCTTCTTCACTTGAGCAGCAACTTGCTTGCTGTTCTTCTTGAAGTTCCCCTTCTTCCCTCTGCCCTTTTCTTGAAACTAGTGGTCTTGTCTACCATCAACACTTGATGTTTTTCTCGATTTCTACCTTCGTCAATTTCCGCATTACGAAGAGCTTGGGAATCGTTTCCGTTATCCCTTGCATATCATAGTTCATCATGAAGTTCTACTAACTTGGTGATGGTGACTAGAGAATTCTGTCAATCACTATATTATCTGGAAGATTAACTCCCACTTGATTCAAGCGATTGTAGTACTCAGACAATCTGAGCACATGCTCACTAGTTGAGCGATTCTCCTTCATCTTTTAGCTATAGAACTTGTTGGAGACTTCATATCTCTCAACTCGGGTATTTGCTTGAAATATTAATTTCAACTCTTGGAACATCTCATATGCTCCATGACATTCAAAACGTCTTTGAAGTCCCGATTCTAAGTCATTAAGCATGGTGCACTAAACTATCAAGTAGTCATCATATTGAGCTAGCCAAACGTTCATAATGTCTGCATCTGCTCCTGCAATAGGTCTGTCACCTAGCGGTGCATCAAGGACATAATTCTTCTATGCAGCAATGAGGATAAACCTCAGATCACGGATCCAATCCGCATCATTGCTACTAACATCTTTCAACACAATTTTCTCTAGGAACATATCAAAATAAACACAGGGAAGCAACAACGCGAGCTATTGATCTACAACATGATTTGCAAAATACTACCAGGACTAAGTTCATGATAAATTTAAGTTCAATTTAATCATATTACTTCAGAACTCCCACTTAGATAGACATCCCTCTAATCCTCTAAGTGATCACGTGATCCAAATCAACTAAACCATGTCCGATCATCACGTGAGATGGAGTAGTTTCATTGGTGAACATCATTATGTTGATCATATCTACTATATGATTCACGCTCGACCTTTCGGTCTTCGTGTTCTGAGGCCATATCTGTATATGCTTGGCTCGTCAAGTATAACCTGAGTATTCCGCGTGTGCAACTATTTTGCACCCGTTGTATTTGAACGTAGAACCTATCACACCCGATCATCACGTGGTGTCTCAGCACGAAGAACTTTCACAACGGTACATACTCAGGGAGAACACTTCTTGATAATTAGTGAGAGATCATCTTATAATGCTACCGTCAATCAAAGCAAGATAAGATGCATAAAAGATAAACATCACATGCAATCAATATAAGTGATATGATATGGCCATCATCATCTTGTGCTTGTGATCTCCATCTCCGAAGCACCGTCGTGATCACCATCGTCATCGGCGTGACACCTTGATCTCCATCGTAGCATCGTTGTCGTCTCGCCAAGCTTGTGCTTCTACGACTATTGCTACCGTTTAGTGATAAAGTAAAGCATTACATCGCGATTGCATTGCATACAATAAAACGACAACCATATGGCTCCTGCCGGTTGCCGATAACTCGGTTACAAAACATGATCATCTCATACAATAAAATTCAGCATCATGTCTTGACCATATCACATCACATCATGCCCTGCAAAAATAAGTTAGACGTCCTCTACTTTATTGTTGCAAGTTTTACGTGGCTGCTACGGGCTTAAGTAAGAACCAATCTCACCTACGCATCAAAACCACAACGATAGTTTGTCAATTTGACTCTGTTTTAACCTTCGTAAGGACCGGGCGTAGCCACACTTGGTTCAACTAAAGTTGGAGAAACTGTCACCCACAAGCCACCTCTGTGCCAAGCACGTCGGGAGAACCGGTCTCGCGTAAGCGTACGCGTAATGTCGGTCTGGGCCGCTTCATCCAACAATACCGCCAAACCAAAGTATGACATGCTGGTAGGCAGTATGACTTATATCGCCCACAACTCACTTGTGTTCTACTCGTGCATATAACATCAACATATAAAACCTAGGCTCGGATGCCACTGTTGGGTTTCGTAGTAATTTCAAAAAATTTCCTACGCACACGCAAGATCATGTGATGCATAGCAACGAGGGGGGAGTGTGATCTACATACCTAGTAGATCGACAACGGAAGCGTTTGGTTGATGTAGTCGTATGTCTTCACGATCCGACCGATCAAGCACCGAAACTACGGCACCTCCGAGTTCGAGCACACGTTCAGCTCGATGACGATCCCCGGACTCCGATCCAGCAAAGTGTCGGGGAAGAGTTCCGTCAACACGACGGCGTGGTGACGATCTTGATGTACTACTGCAGCAGGGCTTCGCCTAAACTCCGCTACAATATTATCGAGGACTATGGTGGCTGGGGGCGCCGCACACGGCTAAGGAATAGATCACGTGGATCAACTTCTGTGTCTCTGGGGTGCCCCTTGCCTCAGTATATAAAGGAGCCAGGGAGAGGGGGCGGCTGGCCAAGGTGGGCGCGCCAAGGGGGAGTCCTACTCCCATCGGGAGTAGGACTCCTAGTTGGACAAGGAGAGAGGGGAAAGAGGTGGAAGAGAGGAAGGCAAGGGAGGGGGGGCGCCGCCCCCCTTCCCTTGTCCTATTCGGACTAGGAAGGGGAGGGGCGCGCGGCCACCTCTTGCCTCCTTCTCTCTTCTTCCTCAAGGCCCATGTAGGCCCAATAAACCCCCCCGGGGGGTTCCGGTAACCCCCCGGCACTCCGGAAAAATGTCGATTTCACCCGGAACGATTCCGATGTCCAAATATAGGCTTCCAATATATCAATCTTTACGTCTCGACCATTTCGAGACTCCTCGTCATGTCCGTGATCACATCCGGGACTCCGAACAACCTTCGGTACATCAAAATGCATAAACTCATAATATAACTGTCATCGTAACCTTAAGCGTGCGGACCCTACGGGTTCGAGAACAATGTAGACATGACCGAGACACGTCTCCGGTCAATAACCAATAGCGGGACCTGGATGCCCATATTGGCTCCTACATATTCTACGAAGATCTTTATCGGTCAGACCGCATAACAACATACGTTGTTCCCTTTGTCATCGGTATGTTACTTGCCCGAGATTCGATCGTCGGTATTCTAATACCTAGTTCAATCTCGTTGCCGGCAAGTCTCTTTACTCGTTCGTAATACATCATCCCGCAACTAACTCATTTAGTTGCAATGCTTGCAAGGCTTAAGTGATGTGCATTACCAAGAGGGCCCAGAGATACCTCTCCGACAATCGGAGTGACAAAACCTAATCTCGAAATACGCCAACCCAACATGTACCTTTGGAGACACCTGTTGTACTCCTTTATAATCACCCAATTATGTTGTGACATTTGGTAGTACCCAAAGTGTTCCTCCTGTAAACGGGAGTTGCATAATCTCATAGTTATAGGAACATGTATAAGTCATGAAGAAAGCAATAGCAACATACTAAACGATCGGGTGCTAAGCTAATGGAATGGGTCATGTCAATCAGATCATTCTCTTAATGATGTGATCCCGTTAATCAAATAACAACTCATTGTTCATGGTTAGGAAACATAACCATCTTTGATTAACGAGCTAGTCAAGTAGAGGCATACTAGTGACACTCTGTTTGTCTATGTATTCACACATGTATTATGTTTCCGGTTAATACAATTCTAGCATGAATAATAAACATTTATCATGATATAAGGAAATAAATAATAACTTTATTATTGCCTCTAGGGCATATTTCCTTCAACTCCATCCTGGGGCACTCCATCCTTGGGCGCTCCATCCCGGGGCGCTCCATCCTTGGGCATGGACACTCCACCATTGAACTTGGAGAGGTGGTGAATGGCCCAACGAATGCGACGAGTCTCTGACATCTGCACAAATGAGTGACTCCTAGCCCTGTTGGCGTTCTCATTGAGATAATCCAAGACAATCAATAGATCATTCTCGGTAAAACCAGGGAGCTCTATGACAGAATTGTAAAGTTCAGGATGTGCCTCTCCGGTGGACTTGATAGCAATAGAAACTTCACGGACTGCATCAGACATGTTGCTCATGACCAGAACTTCTTCTTCACTCTTCAGGCTAGCCCTCTTCCTTTTGCCAGTGGAGCTAGAAGCATCCTTACATGGTTCCTTCCCATGAGGAGCAGCAACACCATCTTCCCCATGAGCAGCACCAGTAGCACTCGAGTCAAGTTCATTCCCATCAACAAATTCAGAACCACAACCTTCGAGGTTTACAAATGATGGGGAGGTTTCTACCATTGAAGGAACCCCAAGAGCCTGATGAGATGTCATTGCATACCTTCCTGTAGCAATACCACTCTCAAAAATAGCAAGCATCTGAACATAATTCTCTAAAGGCACATTGAGATACTCAACATCTTTGGGATGGTCCTACATGAAGTGTGGTTATGGAAAGGTTAGTCAAATAGCTACGGATCAGGATAAGTGTGATTATGGAAGTGTGGTTATGTACAAATCTTGATATGACCCAGGTAGTGCTCTTCCTCGAGCGATATGACATAGTTGGTATCATCCCAAAGCGACCCACTAATATCTCGGAGCTTACTTATCTTCACCCACCTAGCACGCCACTTGCGGAGGTGGTTGTACACTTGGGTCCCAGTTATGGAAAGACCAAAGTGCTCACTACAATTCTTAGCCACTTGGTTTAGATGCACCTCCTTAAAGCCCTTTTCCGTCTTCACTCCACTAGCAATGAGCTCTACAAATCGACGTAGCATGAACCCAGACATTGGAGATGTCCAGCGCAATGGGTGATTCCCACCACCATGCCCACCATCAGCCGCCATCTCAGCCATCAATCCTATACAGAACAACCAAAAGAGCACCAACAAAATTAGAATTTATATCAAGTCCAAAGTGGGGCACCAACAAAATTATAAAGAACCATAAACAGAATTGAAGTGGAGCTCAAACAACAACGTACGATTATTCATAAGGAACCATAAACAGAATTATTCATAATGCATTACAACATAGAATTGAGCTCTACACTTGAGCATTACACGGTAGAATTATTCATAATACATAACTAATAGCAAACATGCCAAACCCAACACTTCAGCTCTACACACGTGAATTGCCCCTATTGGCAAACATATGCCCAGCCCAACCATCTCTAATTTGTGACCAGGTTCTATTATCATGTTCTATGTCAATCACACCATCTGACGCTGGATTCCCGGTCCAAGAGTGCTCAGGTGGTACAAACTCATCCTCTCCCCACTGAAGTATCCAATTATGAAGAATGCATCAAGCTAGGACGATTTTGACTTGTGATGGATAAGGGTGGTGAGGCTTATTGTCCACAATTCTCCATCTGTTCTTGAAAGCTGCAAACGCCCTCTCAACCGTGATCCTCAATGAGGAGTGGCGGAGGTTGAATAAATCCTTCTCATTTTGAGGGCATCGTGCGCCAAACTCAGTAAGATGATAACGAGTAGCCCTATATGGTGGAAGAAACCCTGGCCGCACGGCATAGCCCGCATCCACGAGGTAGAATTTTCCTAACAAATAAGAGGTCATGTGTTGTGTTACTACCAGTAATTAGGAAATGATCAAAAGCCACTAAAATGGTTCTAAAATGGTTCACTAATACATGCAGGGACAACAAATCCATCATTCCTTTCCAACGCATCAGCCAAAATGAGTGCATCATGGTCTGACCCTTCCCAACCAGCTAGCACATAGGTAAACTTAAGGTCAAAGTCAACCGCAGCCATCACATTTTGGGTGGTGCCACCTTTCCGACCCCTAAATGCCGAAGCCATAGCAGCCGGTACCTTGGCAAGAACATGGGTGCCATCAATTGCGCCAACATAGTCCTAAGAAAAGAGGTGAGGTATATTTTGTAAAATATGGGTTATTCGGCATGTCCATAGAATTCTAAATGGTAATATATTACCTTAAAATAGGGATAGAAACGCCTACTGTGTAGGACTTTTGGATGAACTTCATTGGATGGGGGGCGGGTCATCTCGTCACGCAACTCCCCTATAGCATATAAAACTGCCTTGAAGTATCGATTGATTACTTCAATTGACCTCCTAAATATGGGTTTCATTGCCCTAAACCTATGGTTGTGCCCAACTACCAGAAGGAACATCGCAACCTGCTCCTCAATGCAGGTATGAATGTTGTCTTCCAACAATTTTCGCCCACGAAACAAATTACACAAGTTATAAAATGGGGCCCTGCTCATCCTTAATAGGTCATGGCAATTTACATCATTGGTTTCATAGATATAGCGTAGATTGGACAACCTAGCTACGTCTCTCTCAAGCATAACATAACGGATTGGAGCACGATAATTTCTAATTCTAGCCCTTGTAATTATTGTGGCCATATAGGCACACAAAACAGCAACCAAACCAGCAGCTTGCACTATCAGTGTATCTCGGGTCTTGCCGTTGTCATCCATCTATATAAATTCAGCACAAATTTATAAATTAATAAAGGTATGTGCACTGATAATATTTACATCATTTACATCATCAAAACAAAATAAAATATATGGACAAATTATTCAGACTATTTGCACCATTTGCATAACTATTTTGTCTACCTACTGATTCCCTCATTTCCATAAGCTAGCAAAGTGTTCTAGACATATCACAAATATTCATGCTAATGACAGATCTGAACCTACAGAAAAACTACCCAGCCATCTCAAATCCATAGGGGAAGAGGAGGTTCTGGTGACAGATCTGTACCTACATAAAAACTACCCAGCCATTTCAAATCCATAGGGGAAGAGGAGGCTCTGGTGACAGATCTGAACCTAAAAAGGAGAGGGGAGGCGATGGGAAAACATTGCATTGGTGCTAGACATGGAGTAGCCTTCTTTCCCGTTCGTGACCATAGGAGGCCGCCGCTTCATCCATCTACATCAGAGAAGAAGCACCGTGAGTGCAGCGCGAGCGGCAGAGAGATGGGGATGGGAGGGAGAAGAGATGGATGGGGACCGATGGGGGCATGGAAAGGGAGGGGAGGAGGGTTCTACCTCCGCAGTGGCGAGGATGCCCGCCGGCGATGTCGACGGAGGCGACGGGGCTGCGAGATCCACGCTGTCGCAGGAGAGGGAGGGGAGCGAGGACGGCGTGAATGAGTCGGGTGAGAGCGACGAGAGCGGAGAGAAACCCTATCCTTGCTCGTGTGGGTGCAGGCGCGCGTGCAGCGGCGGGTGCGGGCTCGCGGAAACGCCCGAAACCTGCGTTTCCCGTGAGCCTGGCTGGGAGCCTCTTTTTGCATGCGTCGGGCCTGGCCCAGTTAGACATTCAGGCTACCAAACAGGGAGAAAATTGCACGGTGGGTGCGAGCCAGGTGCGAGGCAAGGAACCAAACACGCCCTTAGTGTTTCTGCCGGCCATGGCTGCTGCTCCCGTGGCGTTCGCGGCGGCTATGAATAAATTGTCTTCTGATCCTTCTCCGACGTGGTGCTTCCATCTGTCGTCGATGGTGGATTAGATTGTTGGTCAACCTTGGTCGGTGCAACGTCGACGACGACTTTGTGGAGCCTCTTCGTGGCTTCGTGCTTCAATCCTGCCGGCGACGTTTGCTCCATGGTTGTAGTGGGATTGGTGGCTATGTTTCAAATGCAACGCTGATGCTTTCTCCTTCGAGTGCGGCGGCGGCGACCTGATCTAGAAGACAGCCGATTCAACAAATGTTAGACGGATGCAGAAAGGCGGCTTCGAGTCTTCTCTCTGGCGGTGTTGGATGAGTTCGGTCGAGCCATGGACAGAAGAGCGTACGGATGATCCTGATCATCGAGCCACGAGATCTCGAGGCACATGGTGACCTGCTCATTGACACACACCGCAGCTTTGTCTGCTATGGCATTTCTTTTATCATGGGCATGTTGGTGTCTCTCCTATTTCCGACGGCGACGGTAAGGTGGTGACTATTGGTGGTTTTGCTTTTTGGTCCTTGAGGGTTCATTGCTTTTCTTGTAAGGTCTTTTTGGCAAAGTGTTATACCTATTGTGTTCTGAGTGTTGCTAGACCATGGCTAGGTTTCAAATATGCCTGAAAAAGACACATCTTACAAGTTCTCGGGAGTAGCGGATAACTTGAAACTGCCCCCGAAGAATGTTTGAGAAGGTCAAAACAGTTTTGCTAAAGCACATCTAGATGTGCCATAAGTATTGCACATCTAAGTCATATGTCATTGATCTTACATTGAGATTCGTGTGAATATTTTCTTTCTCTTTTTTCTTTTTCTCTTTATGCTTGATTCACTCACTTAGATGTGCAATAACTAGAGCACATCTAGATGTGCCCTAGACACATCCAGGTCAAAAACATATACAACTTTCTTTTTGCGGAATAGAAACATATACGGCTGTACGCATCTTTTGAGTGTCTTTAATTTTCACATAAAACAGTATTTCTTGCGCTAGCGTAAAGAATAGTTTAGCTCCTAAAGAACAACCTTTCAGTGCACCGAATTAACCACAGAAACATACAGTATATAGCTAACAAATACAGTATGAAACATTGCAGCAGTCAACTGATCCGGCAGAAGGTGAATTTATTAACGAATGAGAACCACAAAAGCAGCATTTGCACAGAAGTCAAGTATATTGCCGTACAGCTGGAAGTCCCCACTGTTTGTCAAATAGAGTAAAAAAGGAGCACCTATACTTGCAAGTTTCAGTACATATAACTTAGAAAATTGGGGACATTCATTGTTCTATCTCGATAAATAGGCTTGCTTGTGGGTGCAAACCTGCTTCCACCAGCGTTTGGGAGTTCTTTTCAGGACCGTATGTTACCCGTGGAAAATTAGAAACTAGGCTGTACTTTTCCGCTTTCAAGCAATCCAAAGAATCAACAAAGTCATATATCAAGGTAATGGTGGCGGAACTGTGGAATCTCCTTTCTTTGCGCTCTCCAGTTGGAAATCTTATAAGAACCTGCAGAATTGTGAGCATGGCTCGGAGTTAGTTCAAAGACCTGTGACCAAATTATGATGCTACTACTACTACTACTATCAAGTGACAACATATACCTCATGTTCAGATAATGCAGGTCATGTGTACATAGATAATATCAAATTCAGGAACAATGTGTCCCTATCTAGCCCCTTAAAAAGTTACACTCCCCGTTCCATAATGCTTGCCATGGTTTTAGTTCAAATTTGAACTAAAACCACGACAAGTATTATGGAACGGAGGGGAGTAATAAGTAACAAATTAGGGGGGGGAAATGCAGCATAAGGTACTACACTGATATTTGGTGATCAACAAAAGAAGAAAAATGCTTGAAAAGCAGAAAGATATGGTTCTGCACATGTTATACTAGAGTAAGAATTGAAAAGGTTGTTGATAGCGTGAAAAGAACGTTAAACATACTCGAGTAACGTCAGGCCCTTTCTCAGGCTCAGCGCCAAGAGCCATTGCCTTCTCTTGCCGTCTCCTTGCAAGAGCGGCTTCCTTTTCAGCTGCTTCTTGGACTGCCCTGGCTTGTGCTTCCTCATCTTCTATACGCTTCCTCTCAGCCTCCACGGCCTCTCTTTCAAGTCTTTCTTGTTCCTCTCTCATCTGGCGTTCTCTGGCCTGGTCATAATTGCGTGATTAAATCAGTGCTATCATGAAAACATTCCAACACTAGGAGAAAATATAGTGGCATGTGTGTGCACTGCTTGAATCACACCTTAAATGACGCACTTACTGTGAATGCACAAATGTGATCCTTATGAGGCACGGTGCTTTTTACAGAAGGAAAACCAAGGAGTTATTACAACATCTGACCTACCTTCCTTTCTTACCATTAGACAGGAATAGATACTTCTACAA